CTACCACTACACACGGGCAATCCTCCTCAAGCAACCGCTGTCGAACGCCAAAAGACTACGCTTGTCATCCACCCGAATTGGCCAGGATTCGCTCCCATACAACAACACTGAATGAACGGATGCACTGTAAACACGACCGTTTGTCTAGAATAAGACCTCACCACAACGCCACACGTGCCTCACATTGATTAATGCTGATCGGGTTTTAGCGATGCGAACAGAAACTTCCTTTCTGATTGTGCCTCCAGCGGAAACGCAGGCGCCAAGGTAGATGGAACTATCTACCTGTTCAAATTGTGCACATTTAAGGGTGAACACGGGAGCAGATGTGGGCCAATCCTGATGCAGCACTTTACGCTTCTATGGGGCGAAGCTCGTGCCATACTTAGATGCTTCAACCACCAAACGATCCAGAATGAGTTGCATACTCTGGAGCGTCACCAAGGAAGGCGATCTCATCAGCTTAATCAAAGTCAATCGCGCACTCACCCGGCAGAGACTAGACCATTATTTTGGAAACTTTCTAGTGCTCTCAACAGGACCTCCTCGATTGTGAAATTGTAGAGGAATGGAGATATAGGGCATGCCTATCGCACACCACTATTGACAGCGAAGGGCGAGGAAAGCTTTCTGTTGACCCTCACTGCCGGAGACGTGTAGGCAAAGTGCACGTATGATGGCAGTACACTTCTCTGGCACCCCGTCCTTTAGCAAGCAAGGTCATAAAGCAGGTCGATCAACAGAGTCAAATGCAGCCCCTATGTCTAGGAATACGACGATAGTGGACCTGTGGTAAATGTGGCGATGTTCGGGTAGTTGGCGAAGCGTGAAGATATGATCCGCACATCCTTGGTCGGGACGGAAACCAGCTTGTTCTTTACGGTGGTGTGATTCACGTACTGGGGATAGTCTGCGAAGCAGAATGAATGCCAATAGCTTAGAGGCAGCCGAAACAAGATTAATCCCGCGATGATTGACACGTGGAGTACAAGTGTCTTTCTTGAAAATCGGGACAATAACTGACTCGCTCCAAGCGGAAGGCACTTTCCCTTCATGCCAGATTTTTGCGAACAGTGAAGTCAGCTGGTTAATGCTTACAACGCAACCGTACTTCGGAGGAATTCCATCTGAACTGGCAGCCTTAAATCGCTCTAAGCGTCGAATCTCGAGGCAGATTTCCGCTTCGCTGAGTGGATCTAGTGGGACGAGCAAGATTAGACAATAAAGTGTACTACATTCACCGATGGACGGTAGAGGCTAGGTGAATTGTGGGTGAAAGTGCTGGACTCAACCATCCAAACGCTTCTGTTGATGGGTGATCGGAGACCCATCCGCCTCGCAAGTAACCTCACTGACATTAGGCTTCCTGAGGCCAGTGGACCGAATGCATTGGAAAAGTCTGCGAGTTTTGCCAGAAACCGCAGCGGTCTTCATCTCTAAAGCGCGCTCAGACCACCAACTCTCGCAACCCTTGCGCAGGCTTTGCTTAAGCAGCCTGTTGGAAGAGCGGCGTTGCTCGTCGCGATCTGATTCTGGTGAGATATCTCAGCGGCAGTTGAACAGCTCAAGAGAGCGAGCAGTGATAGCTTGCCTGGACCGAAGAATCAGTTGATCTGTTTGTATCAATCTTGCGATACTTTGTTTATGGGGACCCTCCAATACACCTGTGGACTTTTGCGCAAATCGGTGCATGATCTGAGTCGGTGACTGTGAACCAAAAGAACCTGTAGTCCCGTACCATGCCACGCCATCTGAAGCTTATTACAGTATGATCAATATGAGATAACGCTTGTGTTGGCGAAGGGAAACACCAAGTTACGGAACTCTTTTTAGTATGCCTAGAGCTGGTGCCGTAGAGCAAATAATGCTCGACTTCACACAACGTGAGGAGTCTCTCTCCGTTGTCAAAGCCGTCATTGAGCACGTGGTGACCATCAAGATGGCATTCGTATGGTAACAGGCGTTGCAGTCCACAGCAAGAACGAGGACATCCGATTTTTTAGTGTTACTCATGAGCTGATGAAGATTCCGATAAAAGTCGTCCTTGACCGATCTACTACTGCAGTCATTTGGAGCGTACTCGGAGATCACAAACAAGGTGCGTCTCTCCTCGCGACGTTTGTTGATTCTATATGAACCCAGAAGCCGAACTGCACACAGTCGACTGTTAATTGGGAACCAGTCCAGTAGTACCGCCTCGGCATTGTCACTTAATGCTATACCTACACCAGCCAAACCCGCTGAGACTGCTCCTGCATCCCCAAAAAGACGCAGGTGATATCTGGTTTCTGGATTAGTGGGGGGTATCAGCGTAAGCACATTACTGGGGTCTTGCAGTCGGGTTTTGGAAAGGCATCAGACGTCAACATCGAGAAACTTTAGGATGCGCGTTAGACCGGCTTGCTGTCCAATCAGCATGAATGTCCGTACGTTGAAGCACGCCAGGCGGATTGGGATCGGGTTCGAAGGAGAGCCATTTGGTTTTACTCTAGGATTCGCGGTGCAATCGAGATCGCAGCCAGATTCATGTACACAGGAACCAGTTAACGAATAGTAAGGATTATTAACAAACAAACAATTGGCACGTAATGAAGTCGTGTTCATGTAAGAAGCAGGAATCGTACCATATGAGCACCTCGTAGAACAGTTCATGATTTTTCGTCAGAGGGCGTGATACTACCCGGTCGCTCATGGCAAAGTAGGGAGTTAACTTAGGGGACCCCACCTTGAGCCTTTGGCTAAATATCCCACCAGCAAGGATGCGGGTCTAACTCTGAAAATCTTGCTTTTTGGGATCTGGTGACTGATTTCACAGTTCAAACGACTCGTTTATCGGTTACCAAACAGGGGCCCTATCCTTCCCACCATTTCAGTTAGAGGGTACTGGAATACAGTGCTCCACCTGAGTAAAGCAAGAGGCAGTGACTTTATTTAGTAGTGAGTCACATCTGCCACATCGCAGTGTTAGACGGACATTTGTAGCTTTTTATAGAGAGAACGCTTGTCGGGGAAAATCCACCACGTCCTGGAACACTGCCCTCGAGCCGTTGGCTGGAACAAGATGTTCCCGAATCACCCAGCTGGCACCACTAGGCGGTTATTCGGCAAGCCAGCCACCACCAACCTACTGGTTGCGCGTGGCAGTAAAACGGCAACAGCGGGTAGTGTAACCGAAACCGATGTCGTCTATCTTGGCTTATCCAAAGTCCGGATGGTTATATATCCGCATCTTTCTCCAAAGGCTTAAAACTTACGGGACTGGGAACCATGTACTCGGATAGGCCATAAGCGTACTTTTCCAGCTACTGGCTCGGGGCTCATTATCTGTTACGATTGAGCTTGACTTTAGTGTTGCACAAGTTTTAATGTTGGGGCTGCGCTTATTTTGTCTTCAATAACGACTTCCTAGGTGTCATCGGGTCGAATTACTTGCTTTTTGCCGATAATCTCAATATACGGCGAGCGATCGGAAGTCAGAAAGACCACGATCTGCTGCGACAAAACCGTGCTTCTGAGTAGTCAAAGTCAAATCTACTTCAGTTCAACGCGGGCACGTGCAAATCTGTACATGCACGTCACAAGCCCACTAACGCATGTAAACTTGGAAGCCACATCTTAAAGACCGCCTCACATAATCTCGTATTTTAGGTGGTGATGCAGTTCGACCACGGCTGTTCGGAGGAGTCCTTAAAGACTTTCAAAACAGCGAGCCAACGTATTGCCGTCTTACGATGAGCCTTCGGGTGATTCGACTCCTCCATCTTCCCTCTTACACACAGCGCGTGTGAGCCCCTACGTGGAGTACGCAGTTCAAGCTTGGCAACCCTGACTACAACGCTACCTAGCTACACTGGAGATCCCACAGCGATGAGCAGTCAGATATGGGATGTGCTTGTTCCGTTCACTGTATCAACTGCGACTGAAAGCCATAGAAGTATATTGCGGAAGTTATTGCCGTCTACGAAGTGACCTCATTCTGGCTCACCAGATTTTGTAAAACCCCAGTCACGTTTGCCGCCACCTCCTGCAACCTAGCCGCAACACAAAATTGTGCGCTCTCCAGTTGAAACTGACCAACCAATACAGTTGGCTGAAATGCCGCCGGAATTATTTCTCTCTTCACAATTTATCTGCCCTGAAAAGTTCCTTTGACTTTTCTACTTTCTATGCTCACGCTACCCATTTTAACAATACTACTCAATATTGCATTACACCATGTGCATTGCTTGATTTGAATTCTATTCCTCGACTGACGACAAGAGGCATACAAACATGATGTTCACAATCCCCCATGAAATCAGGGTAAACGGATTTATTTGTATGATAACGTGAATATTATGGTAGCTCCACAGGTGCGCATTCCACCTTAGTGTCACAATTTTTGAACTTATATTATTTACACAGTCCCCCTTATGGGACCTGTCAATCCTTGGCTTTTTTGTCCTGTATTATGCCATTGTTCAATTGTTTGAATGCTTTAAACAGAAGCTTCAAAATGCCTTCGCTTTGTCGTCTCCTGATTCAGCTATTTTATTATCATGAGGATTATATTCCTTGCAGCGTTTTCGCAGAGTTTGTGCAAGTTAATAAAGTCATTTCTCCTACTAAACCTCTTACCTGTTAGAATTTGGCACCACTTTCACAAGTCAACGCTACCTCGGGCACTGGCGAATGTGTTGATTCTGCGTTTTCGATTCTCTGTTGCCCCAGAGGTGGCGCATTGAAGCGCTCCGTTTTATTGAGAGCAAACAACCATGTAACCACAAGTTCACGTAACCGTGGAGTGATGTTAGATGCCAACCATGTTGTGGGTTAATCACTCTTTTCCATACGTTTCGGTCCGAGCAATCCCGTGTCCCTCGCGACATACTCAGCAGTTGTATGCACCATTTCTGTAATAATTGGTTTCTTAGTATTGCCCTTCTCCTTCGGTCGTGTTTGTGATCTACTCTTAACCGTACTGCCCTGGTTTTGATGTCTCGTTTTCGGCTTCATAACAGACCAGCAGGAAGCATGTTCGCAGCGAACTTCTGGAGACTCCCCTGGATCGCTACGCTCGATCTGACGCCGAGCTTGCGATCGAGAATGCCAAACGTGATAGTGGCCGACTGTTTTTGAGTGTCGAATTCCAGTTCTCGCGTAACCATCCTAACTTGAGTATTCCTGTCTTGTTCGAACGCCGAGTGAGTCTTGATTTCATGGTAGTCGTATTTCACACGTGTACTTTCCAAACTATTTTACCTCCGGGAAGCCGTTTCTTATTTCTTGCAATCCTATGCTATCCCATCCTTCACAACCGTCATTTTAGAACCAAACTGCGTACGTAACACGGAGAGCTACTCAAATTTTTGTGGTTCTTGGCTAAAACGAAATCGTGCTGAATCAGTAATACCCCCAGTTTTTCATTCGAGCTGACGGCGATCCGTCTCGTCTCCTTATTGGTTGTCTACTGCATCGATCTTTAGCTGTACTGCAACATTATTGGTCGGTATTCTGTATAAACAGGGTAAATCATTAAATGATTTCAGGACCGGTTTCTTGCGTTTTTTTTTAAATTCTGTGGGTCGCATTTACTTCCATTCAAGTAAGGCTCATGAAGTCAACGTTTGGGACGAAAATCAAACTGCGTACACCTGGTGGTTCATTTGAACTTTACCTTCTTAATGTAGCCAGTTGTTTTCCCCATAGGTTACGAAATGACCTACAATGACGAGCTTAAGCTGGCTTCACCACCCAACGGAACTGACTTTGCTGTTGTTGTCCTAGATTACATGCAGTCTGGTGTGGTATTTACGAGATTCCAGTTATTTTTGCTACCTTGGTATTAGAGCCATCTGACATCCCCACTCAATACTGTGTATTTGCATCACCTGCAATGTGGATTAGAACAAATTGACATATAATCCGTATATAACTTCGACATATATGAAACAAGTTTAGCAAATTTGTTCTATCTGTGTAACGGTATGTTGTGCTAATTCAAGTATCGCGTTCAACAAACCTAGATTCATTCACAATCGGATATTGTGTGTTAGGCTTTCTCCTTTTGCGAATTCGATTGAGTCGATCTTGTTCCCCGTGAACTCCCAATCAAATTCAAATTCTGAAGTTAACTGCTTGACACCAAAACATGTTGAAGGGTCGACTACCGAGACAGTACTTGTAGTCGGCGAATAAATGTATATATTTATGCCTCTATATGGGAACGTTCTGCTTCTTAAACGGCTAGGTCAGCCACCAGAAATAGAAGTGCGAAAGGAGTCACGCGTCGCGTGACGGAATTGAATTTTTTCGAATCAACTTTATGTCACCGTTGGTGTTAGTCCATCTCCTTTTCTTATTGTACTGATCACTTTCCTTGCAGATTTTGACCTTCCTTCAGTGAGAGCTAACGTTTGACACCATTCCAACACCCTTAATTTTAAACGACTGAGGGTTTCCGACTGCAATTTCGGTAAATATGTCGCAGTCAGCTCAGTAGTCATCGCACATTGCGAATAAAAGGGCTGTAACTTAAAATGTCCTGCACGACGGTAGGTTAGGGGTTTAAAAAACGAACAGCAATAAGCAATAAATAACCGTCAATAGTGCACTTTCCTATTAACAGTTGATCCGTCTGGGTCGTTCACATGTGGTTTGATGCACTTCACAAGTCTACGGTTTTCCCAGCAAAACGGATGGGGCTTGACGCGTTTTGTTTTCTGTTGTTCCTATGGCCCATATGGGTTAGATGTTTGATGTGTTTCGACCAGCGCACCGTCGACACGATCTCGGTCGACGTAGGGGCCGAATTCGAGATTACTTTTCTCAATCGTTTTTGTCCGCATATACATCTTTCCATAGAACCACCCCAAGGACCCCCCTAATGCAGTCGCCGCCTACAACGCTGGGTGGATGTGATGTAGAAAATAATAACATATTTTGAAAAGTTCTGTTCATGTTCCCTTTTTAATTTCTAGTGAATGACTACTGCTATCACTCGGTATTCTCATCATATTAATCGCAGCGTGATTTTGCGTTGTGCTACTTCCTAGAACTATTCTCGGACTGTGGGCGTCCACATTTTTCCAGCTTGCGACCTATAGCTCCTCTGATTCAGCAGCGCACTGAATTTTATTTTGTGTTTGTTTCATTGAATTGGTGGACCTCATCGATCTACCATAGAATTCTCTTTTCTTACCGTTTTCTCTTAGGAAATAGATCCTATAACATCCGATGCTCGTTCGGAACGGGTGAGTTTTTCTCTGTTAGCTTCCCTTCCGGGCTGGCTAGTTTAGTTGTTATTTGAAGTGCAAGTGCCGAGGCACCCAACAACCATTCATATTGAAATAGCTTAGCTTAAGCACGAATTTCGCCGATACTGTAGATCACAATCCTTTCCACTTCGTTTTTAGTGGAATCCCGTCGATGAAAAATATTTCAAAATGACTCGCAGTCTACGCATTGCGGATTTCGACCGTAAACGCAAGCCGAATAAGGAGACACTGGACCGCTTGAAAGTAGGTCAATGCTATTCGTCTCCTTTTTTGGGCTGTATTGTCAAAACCTGCCTATTTGTTAAAGTCTTTCCGTTCTCTCCTGTGTCCAATCCAGTTCGCACATTAACGTGTTGAATGTCTCACTGGATCCTACTTGTTATCTTTGTAAACATATACACACTACTCTGTTTTTGTACCTTGATACTTGGCCGTTTCCCCACCGCAACGATTCTCGCGTCTAATTCGTCTCCAAAGTCCGGTGCATGTGCCGTGCTGTTACTGCTTTGCTTGTTCAACAACGTTCCATCCATTCCTGTGGCGTCGTGGATTTAGTCACCTCGGCGCTGGTCACTAAAAGAATGCAGATGATCTGGACGACGGGACAAATAGCGTTATAGGTGTCAGACGGAAGAATAGAGTGTACAAAAGAACTGGGTTGCCGGAGAGGAGAACCCACGGATTTGGCGACAGTGATGCATTCAATAAGTCTTGTGGTAATTGATTTAGCCATTCCTAATGCTCCCATCCAAGAAGGCGATGCACGAACTCTGTTCATTCTCTCGGCCACCTTGCTCATACTCTTTTCCCGTATTATCGACGGAGCGCCATGGGGTTTCTTCTAAACGCATACAATATTCTAACCAATACAATGCGTTGCGGGATGACTTCATTTCGTGCTGTCTGGTTACATGGGAACGCAGAATGGTTAACAATCACCGAAGAAAAAATCAATGATTTGGATGCTGTCAGAAAGTAGGAAAAGACGCATGAAAGCACAGACCGCAGCATATTCACAGGTTGTGTGACAGTTATTTGTTTTTTCAAAGGATGATCCGGGCCCCAAAGAGTTTCGGAGTTACCGTGTCCCAACAGTGCACGGCCACTTCTGCCCCAATTTGGACTCTTCATGTAGTGATAGACTTAGCTGAGAGGGGAACTCGGCACAGTGGTTGAAGGCTTACTCCTTGGTCGCTAAGCCAGAGCTCAACGAGCAGCACTTGACACATAGGTTTCATGTTAGCTAGACCGATCAACCTCTTCGTGTAACTATTTGGTGATTGTTTGAAGCGGTGGTGTATCGGCCCAATCCTGAACGGGAGAAAGGCACACTGAAACTTGTATCGCCCTGTTTCCGTCAAATTTTCTTTCATATAATTGACTCACTCCAAGGTTTGTCAGCTGACTTTCAGATAGAATTTCCACGCTGAATGTAGCTGTTTGCCTCATTAGTTATGCTTATGTCGAATACAAAATTTGAGAGATGTAGACAGAGAGATTTTTTGAAACACTTCCTTTGTCTTTGGGATCTAAAAAGCAAGCTTCTCGTGTATTCTCTACGGCCACGTCAATTGCTGTAACGGAATTTCAAGGTCGAAAAAGCTCCCTGCCATTGGCTTCTGCGATAAACAGCGCCGCATAGTCTGGTCTCACATAGATCGATTGCTCATCACATATTCGTATGCCCCTTGATGTGTTGTACGCTTTCAGTCTCTGGGCCTTAACACGGCTTTGTAGTTCTCTCACTCAGATCCCTTTGCCTATTGTTGCTGCGACTGTACAGAGTATTGGTCAGTTTCATGTTAGTCATGATCCCCACCTGGACACATCGGTGTTATTTCTTTGCGTTTGTACTTTGTGGTGAGCGCGGAGCTGGAGAATGTGACGCAGATCATCCGGATGTCTACAGAACTGAGCGTCCTCAATCATAATGTTAGGCTAGTCCAGCAGCGGATTGCACCATCTGCTATTACTTCGTCTGCCATTCATCAGTAGTATTAGTTCATCCATACCCACTACTACTTTCCGGTGAGCGATCTTACGGTTAGATTGATTACTTCCTTTACGAATTTTCATTTTGTTGCCACTCGCACCAATTCCAGGCAGACAGCTGTTTTCGAGTGTTCACCTTCAGTTCCGGACATCAATCTTTGAAGTGATTCTAAACGTATTCCAATTCATTTGACTACTTCAGCACGTGTGGCTCGCCCAGTCTCGTTTCCGCCACAGCATTGCGGTTGGACTGCGGTCAGCGTCGTCATCAACGGACAATTTTGTCGACTACGACTGCTGTATGACTCGGATCAATTCCTCCTAGCAATGCGAATCTAATCAAATCATCCGGATAACTACTGCTTCAGCAGTCAAGAGAGAATGCAGACAACTTGACTAACTAGTTTGAAGGGTTTTCGCCAACGATCTTGGAACCACCGCCCGTATAAGCGCATTGTCTATAATCGATCAATGTGGTATGCTTGCCCGGTGCACTCACTGATTCGCCAAGCGGGTTCCGATGTTTGAGCTGATATCCAACGATCCGAACAGGAGCTGTTCATACTACGACCAGTCATTGAATGACAATAAGAGGTTTACCCTTGTGCTTGATAAAAGTTTTTGCATGTGCATACGACTCAGTTGTTCCATCCATTTTGCTCGAAATACTTGCGCGGAACGGTGTTCACATGAAATTTGCAAACATTTTACGTGTCCTGTACTCGAACACCACAGGCCGCGTCAGGTTCTTCGGTGACTTGTCAAACTTCTTCCCGACAACAAGTGGCGTTCGTCAGGGCTGTCCCATTTATGTTAAACTACGTCATCGACTCCGTCATGGAGTGTTCCCTTGCGAAATCTCACGACAGAGGCGTCGAGGTGCTGCCTGGTGAAAAGCTAATTGATCTTACTTATACGGACAATGTAGTCCTCTTGCTTAACGATATTGGCGCGGTCTAGTCAACCCTGAATAACCTCTCTGGAGTGGTCCCATTATTTGGTATGCGAAGCGTTGTTACACGACCACCAGCCACCTGATGACCCCTTGACTCTGATAGCGAGGAACTTGAGGTCGTTGGCCGCTTCACTTACCTCGGTAAATGCATCAGCAACAATGAGCGCATAACGGCTGAAGTCAGTTCAAGTATTGCAAAGGCTAGGACTGTCTTCCTGAATCCTACATCTGCAAGGTCAAAGGAGGGTTTCCCTCGGTTTGAAAGGTCGTGTGTACAGAACCACAGTGAGGGCCGTCTCCCTTTATGATTATCAGACCTAACCCCTTCGATCTGTGGGCCTGCAGCGTCTTCAAGTTTTTGATCATTGCTGGTGTCGGACAGCGTCAGCGTATCCACAACGATGATTTGCATAACTATGTACTATGTAACTATGTACTAATCAGACCAGTTCCTTGAAACAACAACTAGCATTGAGTAAGTTGCTTCGACTTGGGCACTTGTTACCTATGCCCGGTTACTGCTCACTGGGATGGCCGTCTCACTTTCCATGCTGAAATCCAAGTGACTCGCCTTGTGCTTTACTTGAGACTTTACAGAACATGACTCGCATTCCGCCCAGTGGCGCATCTGATGTCGTCTCATAGTCCGTCTTCCTCTTTAAACTGTGTTTGGTGCCGAGTTATCTGCGCGGTAATGGCTGGTTATGTCGCGGGGCAGCGAAAGCCGCAAGGAGGCTATCTCGCCGATGCGGCCTAAACGTTATACCATAGCTGTTTGTGATGATCTGTTGTTGACAAGGTGTAAACGCCTTGGCCCTGAATGTTTGTTTGGGGCATTACAGTTTCGTTATTCTCCGTTCTCTATGTTACCGTGGTTGTACGGCAGAGAAGCATCAGTTCAATTGGCTGCTGCATTGTTGTTGATGATTTAAACATCCAAATTCTGCACACTTTCCGCTTCGCTTACCATTGCTCTTTTTCGCTTTTTATTACTATTTCGACGGAAATAAACGTGCGTGACAGCTAGCCGCAAGCGTCCGTGACTTTAAAGCTAACAAAGACTATATGCCTGGGTAACATAAACGGCAGTAGGCGCATAAATAGCTTTCGTCTGGGCAGTGGTTGAGCGCAGCCCCAGCTCAGTTGTCGCACTGCATGATCCCTTCCTAATGGCCAAACGTCGCTCGTGCATGAGCCTAGGGACTATGCATGCACTAAATGAGGATTTTCTAGTTTTGGTTTCACTATTCTGCGCCGAGCTCCTTTTCCCGAGACGCACACAATGCTACCAGTGTTAAGAGACAAGTGAGATATGGGTTAAGTGACCGATATATGATCTGGCTCAGCAACACGGTCCCATGCCTCTCCCTTCCACTTTTCCCTTTGACAATTCTTTATAAAACATCATGGAAGCCATCTTGAATGGTTGCGACCATCGAGCCTATAAACACACCACTTCTTCAGGGATCTACACTGTGCGTCCCAGTCATTCAGCTGTACAACATTAGTGCTTAGGTAAAGGGTTATGTTTCAGTCAGTCAAGGCATTTATCAGCCGAAGTTGTTATGGCATTCCTGACTGCATCTACTCGTAGCTTACCAACAAGGTGTCGGAACGTAGCAGGCCACCTGGCTGCTATACCATTCTGATTTGACATTAGCTTTTGGTTGTTGACTGCATAATTCTTTGTTTTGCTGTGATCTCCTCCATGCCCTCACTGCCGCCAAATTGATACACCTTATGAACAAACATTTGTGTGCTTAGCTTGGACGCGGCCACAGGTCAGTTCACACTGTGTAGTTACTAATCAATTACGTTAGATAGGACTTTCTTCATCTTTGATGAATGGCGTAGTCCTGGAGAAATCTCATTTGAAAGTGTGTTCGTCGAACGTATACTGATTCATCCAATGAATGGGAGTGGATTTCCCGATCGCCTAAATGGTTGGCAGTTCTTTTTTCAGAATGGACTATCACTACAACTGCGAACAGCTACTGAACATCTGCGTCTATAGAAGGACCATGGGTGGCTTGCGCTGCACAACTCCATTCACCCAACCCCTTATCCAGTGTAAACCGGAAGGAATAAGACCCGGAGGCATGTGAATGAAAGCTATGGTTTATTCGGAGTCGGCTTGCACTCCAACTTACAAATCACTCATATGGATAGGGAAATCATGCATACCAGATTTACACAATATGGTGGTGGTTGGGACGTAGCCCGAAGACCGTTCACCTCGTCCCCTCCTGGGACCAGTGATCGAAGTGGTGGTGTTCGACAGGTCAATATTCGCACCGAACGCAGCCAATCCTTGGATATCATAGTCGATACAAGTCGTCAAACATACGACAACATAAACTTAGATGTGCATTTTCGTACCAACGTCAGCGAGGATGCAACGCACTCGCAGCGTCTGGTGTGTTTTCGGTCTGGGATTGAGAATGAACTTGGAAGCACCGTACCTTAGCTACGTTGATTCTCACTTATTCAGTTTACCTTTCTTTTTGCTTTGGGTTCCTCGTGGCCTGGTTGTTGGTTCACCAGAGCAAACGGTGGACCTGTTTGTCGATTGTGTTAGAAATTGTTCATTTTGGCTGCTTCTCTACTTTTCCACTTAACTGAATTCCATAACTTTTGCAAACGTTATTAGTAGGTGGTACAGGGATTTATTGAATCGATTTGTTGCAGTTAGACTCGAACAGCCATCTACTGTAGAATACGACAAACGTTTACATTTTTAACAATGTGGTGTTGCAAACTTTAAAAACTCATGAAAGGCACGTGTTTTGTCCGGGCTACTCTTTTCCTTCGATTGCATTCTTGGCGTGCGTCTTTCTTCAAAAGATTTGATTGCTGTCCAAGACCACCCTCATCTCGATTATCTTGCGGGTACACACATGCGGCCTAGAATTGTTTATATTTTTGTGGTCGATCAGCATACTTGATGTGTCATCTAACTGTTCTCGCTTTTTGATCCCCAAAGGATATACTAGACCAGCCACCTTCTCGAGATTTACCTGAATCTGACGGCGATCTTGTCTGGCAGTATCGATTCTACTTGTCAGAAAAGTATCCTGAAGTGAGTCGCATTTACTTTTTTATTGCCGGATGACATTAGTTCCTCTCGCTCCCCTCCCAGTACAGAAGCCTACCACACACCTGCCTCGCTTGCTATTCGCAAACCACTGGCTTTGTTGAATTCGATATGATGCTTGCTTTGCCGAATGATTCATCTTTTGCTTCATTCCCCTGACCACTAGCTTATAGTACTATACGCACCATGCTGACCCGAGTGATGTATAGATCTTTACTGGAAACCTTATACTCATTGAGTATCGTCATTCCACCCACGCACACGGGTTACATCACTGATCTGAACCTTGGCTCACTCTTGATCCCTACTCATTTCTTTCGGCCAATTTTATCCGTTTCCATATTCTGCTCCATATGATAAACTGTTCCTTTAATAACTCTACCTTTGACAAACTGTCCTTTCAATGACACGGAATACCTGTAGCTCGGGTTGGTAGTTAACGTTTTAATTCGTTCTCCGAGCTGAGTAATTTAATGACAAACGTTTCACCACTTCCCTCAGTGGCATCTTCAGTGCACTGCTCCGTAGTGGAAAATCTCACGGAAAGTGTCGTCGAGACGTAGTGTTTGAAATTAGCCTCGTCGATCTGTGTCCCATGACCTCTGTTTCTTCGATATTTGGCCGTCCAGTTTCACGCTTTCTCAGCTATAGGTACACGGGATCGAGTTCAATGCGGAGGTTCAGTGAATTCTAAGTAGAGAACCGTGCCTAGAGAAATTTCCTTCCTTTTCTTGTCCCTCCGTGCGCTAGAATTTCCGTTTTGTCCCAGTTAACGTTGTGTCCTTCCTCACCGACGTGCGCTAAGATCTGTGACGATACATGACGCACGCTTGTGCTCTTGTATTCTTGTGGCTAGTTTTCCCCCCGTATGACCTACATAGTCTTTGCCACAGTTCTAGCATTGTATCCTGTAGACGACATTTTGGCGTTCGTGTGCCTCCAGTTTTTCTTTAGGTCTAGATAAGCTTTCTTTCAAAGTCGCAATTGGTATGTGGACTATCATCAGGTTGTGGGGCTTGAGGAGTCTGGCTATCTTTTCCAATACGTTTTTTATGCACGGCAAGGCGATGTGTTTCGCCGTTGTTGGTGCAGGTGCGGTAGTTATGCTCATTCGGTTTAGGTGTCTTTGGATGAAACTGCGTGGGTAGCCGTTGCGAATGAAAGACATAAACAGTTTTTCCTCTTCTTTTCGTTTTGTCTCTATAGTATTTCAATGCGATTCTATCATACCAAACAGGGTCCGAATACAGCTTATTTGGAGATACTTAGGGTGAATGCTGTTAAAGTTCAGGATTTGGTTGGTGTGTGTTGCTTTTCTGTAAGCTGATGTTTGTAATTCGCCTTCCACTGTTCTGGTAACCAGCACGTCCAAAAAGGGTAGTTGGTTTTTCACCTCTTCTTCCATGGTGAAACGAATGCCTTCCATTGCATTGTTAAGTAGGTCTTGTGCGGTCTGTAGCTGGTTGCGTTTGAGAATCACAAACGTATCGTCAACGCATCGCACCCATAATTTCGGACTAATGACTGGGAGTATATCCTCTTCCAACCTCTGCATGAAGACTTCCGCAATAAGTCCAGATATGGGGGATCCCATTGAAGCTCCTCTAACTTGCTCGTAAAACACTCCGTTGAATTTGAAGTATGTAGTAAAACACAAGTCGAGGAGCTTGCATATGCTTTCAGTTGTTAGCTTCCCAGTCGTTTGTCCTCCACTGTTCAGACGTTCTCTAATATTTTCTTTCGCTGTTTGTGTTGATGGAAGTGAAAAGTGCGGTGACGTCAAAGGATACTATCACTTCTTCATGGTCTATCTGCATGCATTTGAGCTTTTCCAAAAACTGATGAGCATTATTGATCGAGCATCGCGATCCGCTGGTCAGATGTTTGAGACCTTTCCATAATTCTTTAGCCAAGTTGTAAGTTGGCGTACCTGGGAGTGATACTATTGGTCGTAGCGGCACACCCTCTCTGGGTATTTTAGGAAGCCCGCAAAACTGTGCGATGTTTGGATCAGGAGCCTTCATTCTATCACACTCTACCTTTGTGAGTTGATTTGTCTTGCAGTTTCTTAAGTGTCTTATTCACTTTATTTGTCAACCGTACTGTTGGATCGTTCTCCATGCGTCGATAAGTTGTTGTGTCGACTAGGAGATGGCTTGCCTTTTCAATATAATCAGTTTTGTCCATTATGACGGTCATAAGTCCCTTGTCGGCAGGCAGGATGACGATGCTTTCATCAGCCTTCGAGGAATTTAGGGTACTCTTCTCTCCTCGAGGCATGGCTCTCTACTTAGAATTCACTGGACCTCCGCATTGAACTCGATCCCGTGTACCTATAGCTGAGAAAGCGTGAAACTGGACGGCCAAATATCGAAGAAACAGAGGTCATGGGACACAGATCTACGAGGTTAATTTCAAACCCTACGTCTCGGCGACACTTTCCGTGGGATTTTCCTCTACGTAGTACTGCACTGAAGATGTCACTGAGGGAAGTGGTGTATCGTTTGTCATTAAACTACCCAGCTCGGAGAACGAATCAAAACGTTAACTACCAATCCTAGCTACAGATATTCCTAATCATTACAAATAATCATGGGCGCTCAACTCTCCGATCTGCTCGTCGTTGGGAAAACTTTGCCTGCCGGAAAGCCTACACACAGGAACCGTTATCCTTCCTCCATGAATGCCTGCGAAATGACATTCTACTCAGAGGTCTCGACTACATGCCTCCCATAAACCATCCGCAAGCGTGGGCAGTTGCATAGCAGTTTGGAAAACGTATGGTGTGGATGATGATCACTGACGCACGAAATCGGATCGAAAAATATGAAAGATGTCTTAAGGTACACCGAACTACATGCCTAAAAACAGTCGGCCACAAATGACAGAACAGCTGGACTGAGTGATTGTTGGCAAAGCAAACATTGCAGAAACGAAAAAGCAGACCGCCCTTCGAGAAAAGTTGTCTAAATTGTCCAGTTTGAATTGCGCAGATGTCAACGATGGTTGGGTCAGGAACCTGTCCAAACGGCATCTCGGTGACGTTGAACGACAAATCCCCATCGAGGGACTTAACTACAACTTCAAGGATGCTGGAACCATGGAGTTCCTAGCAGAACTCGAAAATACCTTACAATCCAATGGACCTAACGAAGTGACCAAAACAAAAATAAGGCATGCCATGGTTCCGATTCTAGCACACAACAAGCAACACAACTCTTTTTCACAACAAGAGAAGAGTGCCCTAAAATCCTTGAAGACCGACGAAACCATCGTAATCCTACTTGCTGACAAGGGACGCATGACTGTCATAATGGACAAAACTGATTATATTGAAAAGGCAAGTCATCTCCTAGCCGACGCAACAACCTATCGGCGCATGGAGAATTATCCAACAGTACGGTTGCCAAAGAAAGTGAGTAAGACCCCTACGAAACTTCAAGAATTAAATCAACTCGCAAAGGGAGAGTATGGTAGAATGAAGGCTCGTGATCCAAACATCGCAGTTTTACGGGTTTCCTAGCGTACACAAAGCAGGTGCGCCGCTACGACCAATAGTATCACTCCCAGGTACACCAACTTACAAGTTGGCTAAAGAATTATGGAAAGACCTCAAACATCTGATCAGCGGATTGCAATAATCGATCGATAAAGTACAACAGTTTTTGGAAAAGCTCAAATGCATGCGAATAGATCATGAAGAAGTGATGGTATCCTCTGACGTCACCGCACTTTTCACTTCCATCAATCTACAGATAGCGAAAGAAAATATCAGAGAACGTCTGGACAGTGGAGAAAAATCGACTGGGAAGCTAACAACTGAAAGCATATGCAAGCTTCTCGCATTGTGTCTTACTACCTGCTTCAAATTCATCGGAGTGTTTTACGAGTAAGTTAGAGGAGCTCCAATGGGATCCCCCATATCTGGACTTATTGCGGAAGTCGTCATGCAAAGCCTGGAGGAGGATACACTCCCAGTCATTAGTCAGAAATTATGGGTACGATACGTTGACGATACGTTTGTGATTCCCAAACGCAACCAGCTACAGACGGCACAAGACCTACTTAAGAATGCAATGTAAGGCATTCGTTTCATCATGGAGGAGGAGGTGAAAAGCCAACTACCCTTTTTGGACGTGCTGGTTACCAGAACAGTGGAAGGCGAATTACAAACATCAGCTTACAGAAAAGCAACACACACCAACCAAATCCTGAACTTTAACAGCATTCACCCTAAGTATCTCCAAATAAGCTGTATTCGGACCCTGTTTGGTATGATAGAATCGCATTGAAATACTATAGAGACAAAACGAAAAGAAGAGGAAAAACTGTTTATGTCTTTCATTCGCAACGGCTACCCACGCAGTTTCATCCAAAGACACCTAAACCGAATGAGCATAACTACCGCACCTGCACCAACAACGGCGAAACACATCGCCTTGCCGTGCATAAAAAACGTATTGGAAAAGATAGCCAGACTCCTCAAGCCCCACAACCTGACGATAGCCCACATACCAAATGCCACTTTGAAAAGAATATTATCTAGACGTAAAGAAAGACTGGAGGCACACGAACGCCAAAATGTCGTCTACAGGATACAATGCTAGAACTGTGGCAAAGACTATGTAGGTCGCTCATTTTATTGGATTTCACCATGTCCAATCTTGCGACTTAATCCTTGTCGTCCTTGTCGGATCTCCCACAAAGAGAGTGTACTTTCCATATCTGACAAGCCGGGTTCACTACTGCAGCAATTCTTAAAGAACGCTGGAAATCACCTCCGGTACTCTTCGGATTCTCAGATAAAGGGCGTCCCAATTACTGCCTTGTTTGCGATCGTTATTTTCGTACTAGACATGCGCTAACTTAACACTGCTGGCGTACTTATCCGGAAGATTACAATAGCTTCATCACCTCCTGAACCGCAACATATAGCTTTTACTGGAAGAGGACCGGGTTGTAATGCAAGTGGCGACAGAATCGAT